AAAAGTGGACCAGCAAAACTTAAGAAAATGCAACAAGAGTTTAAAGATGTACACCTTGTCATTATTGACGAATTTAGTATGATATCTTGTGGGATGCTTTACTGGATAGATAGGCGAATGAGAGAGATTTGGCCTAGCCATGCCGACGAACCGTTCGGAGGTAGAGATGTTTACTTCACAGGAGACGCTGCTCAGTTAGACCCTGTTGTGCCAAGCGCACTTGCAACTCCTCTAACAAAAATTACAAATGAAGTGCAACGTCGAGGTAAAATGATTTGGGATAGCATTGAGCATGTCTGTATGCTTACGAGTCAAAACAGAGGAAAACTCGATCCTGAGTGGTTCAGTGCACTTCGCCGATTGCGGGACAAAACGCCAACACAAGCTGATATAGACCTATTTAATACGCGCTGTTTAGAAGTAATTGATCGTTCATCTTGGGCAGATAAAGCAAAGCATATTGCTTACAAAAATAAAGATGTTGATGCCGCGAATGAGCACAGTATTTTATCAGCAGGTTTGCCTGTGCTGCGTATCAATTCACAGCATTTTGTACAGCAAAAGCGCATGGCAGCAAAGCGTGATATCCCTGCTGGAACGGTTGCTGCATTATTAGAGGACGCAAAAACCGTCAACGCTGATCATGATAGAGTAGTTCCAAGATCGTTACAGCTGTGTGTTGGTGCTCCAGTTACACTTACCTACAACATGGCTCAGTCGGCGGGTTTGTGTAATGGTACAAACGCTATTATATATGATTTCATGTTTATAGATGGCAGTGATCTCCCAATTGTACTTGCGCAGATCACAGATCCTTATATCGGCCCTTCGCTGCTGGATGATGTACCTAATATTATCCCTGTTGTACCAAAAGAAGTGTCTTGGGGAAAAACATCCAGTGATCTACGCGTTGTTCGACGTGGAATTCCTCTTAGGTTGGCTTATGCTATGACCATTCATAAAGTACAAGGTCTTACATGCTCTCACGTAGTTTTTCATTCTAACTCGATTCCAACTATATCTTTCGCATACGTAGCTCTTTCAAGAATCAAACATCGTAACTCTATCGTTCTTACACAGCGATTAATACTAAAAACTCTTACAGGTTCACCTGAGCAATTAGCGATGTTTCAACGAGAGAACGAACGAGTCGCAGAACGTGTAGCGCGAACAACAGCCGCTGCTTCATCAATTGTACAGCGAATGAAAGCGATAGCACTGGCACATAATAGAATTTGAATTTCCCAATCGATCCGAATTTAATAACACGACGGGTGCTTCATCTTATTTATCTACGTTTTTAAGCGCTTTTAGTTAGACAATTACTACACAGATCAAACATGTATGCATGAGTTTTTTTAAGCATGACCTACTTTGGTTTTGAAAGATATCCACCCAATACTCGTAGTTGTGGTCACCTAAATCACAACTGTAATTGCGTCTCCGGGGCCTACATCAGCCCAACCGAATGTCAAGGTAGTATCTGCGCCATCAGTACAGATATCTACACGATCGTTACCTTTTTTTAGGGTCAACCGGCTTTTTGATCGGCCTCGCCTACGGTAAGGATGCGCTCTGTCAC